ATAGCTAAGACTTTTCCACAAGGTTACTACAGAAGTATATAAAAAGGAAGGGATTGTAGATGTGTTTTGGGACTGTCTTAGTCAGAGGAAAGGCAAAAAAGCATGTAGTGGAGTCTCTTTAGAGCCATCACTCTTAACCTCTCAAGAGCTATGAACCCTTAAGTCCTTGCTAAGATCTTGTTAGCTTAGGTGAAGCAGACCAGTGGAGGGGTCAGGGGAGGGGGTAAGAGCTTTCCTCTGGTTCTGAGCTTTTAAACTCACATGAAATGACATAATTCATATTATTCCCTGAAATATGTTGGGAATCTGAGCTGTTTGGAAGAGAGTGCTGAGGATTATTCTATTTTTTAGTTTACCATGCTAATCTTAAGATATTAGTTTCTACTGCAATATTGCTATTGCTGCTTCTACTGCAGCAGACAGTTGGATCTGATGTGGTTTGTGTCTTCTCCCAGGTGTGAGGAAGACTCAGTCTCTCTACATGAAGACCAGACTGATTGCTCCAGTCTCAGATATGACCCACCATTGCTTAGTTCTTAATTAGGAAGGACGGAAACCATCTGGGCTTGGTGTCTAGTCTCTTCTTTGAATTCTAATAATTTGTTCTTGTGTCTTCCTTCTTCTAATAGATTATTAGTTTTTGAAGCAAGTTTTATCATATCCACTTTTGAATTCCCCTCCCTTAGTATCCAAGACCGTGCCTTTTATATGGGCAATTCTCAATCAATGATTGTGGAATTCAACATTGATTCACTCATCTCAATGTTTCCATCATAGACCTTAAGTAGATTTTTTTTTACCAAAGGTTCATTGGATATCTGAGTTATTGTGTTGGTTATCAAGGTGTTCATGGTCTAATGGCAAAACCATGAAAATGGTTTAAGCACTTTCACATACATTTTATTATGTAATCTAAACCAGCTGAAAGAAAGCTGTTTTTTTTTTTTTTTCCCCTTCTCATATTGTAGATGGAGAAACTGAGGCTTAGAGAAATAAAGCTCATCCATGATAGATAGTCACTACGAGGCAGAATGTGGACTTAGTCTTTCAGACTGTGAAGTTCACTTGGATAACATACATTTGTTGAAGGCCTGTTTTGTGTCCCAGAAGCCACTCAAGGTACAGGATAGTGAAAGACAAACCAATCCCTGCTCCAGTCCATTGAAGGAGATAAGCAAGAATATAGAGATGCCACTTTAAGTCCTATTTTAACAGAGGTAAACAGGATTCACTTAGAAAGACCAAGTAGCCCAGAGAGGTTTCTGGGATTCCTGAAGAAAATTATGAATGGCACATGGCACATCATCATCATCATCATTATTATTATTATTATCTTTTCTGTGGGGTCTAAAGCCAAGAAAAAGATGATGACATCAAGCAGGGGGAGCAAGTTATCAGAAAACCAACAGAGTCTAGAGAAAATTGTTCAAGTTAAAGGAACAACAAACACTTCAGGTTGGCAGGAATCATTAGAGCTGGGTGGGGAGTGAGGAGGCCAAGAGTGATAAGAAATGTAGCTCCAGATATAAACAAAGGCCCAACTTCAAAGGGTTTGTGTATCTTGCTAAGGGGTTTGGAATTTATCCTGGAGGTATGGGAAGACAATGAAGAAGCCTCAGTTTTTTCTTTGCAAATAATCACATATAAATCTTATAACAATAGCTCCCATTTATTGAGTTATGGCCTTGAGCCAGCTTTTATGGTAGGCATTTTACAGAGACTGTATTATCTCTAGGATAGAGGGACATTCTTCTTATGGATGAGGGTCAGGGAAGTGAAGTGGGGTGGCACAGGCTTCATCTAATAAGTAGCGGGGTGGGAGGGAGATTCTTAAGACTCTTGTTCTTTTTAGAACATCATGATCATTCTAAGTTATGAGTGATCCCATTAAGCAGTGGCATAAATTACATAACCTGTATTTTTCTGTTTTTTTTTTTTTTTTTTTTTTTGGGGGGGGGTGTGTGTGTGAGGAACTAGTAATAGGTTAGAAATATATTTCTAAACCTGGCCAGTGTTCCTCAGTGGTTAGAGCATTGGCCCAAGAACCAAAGGATAGCAGGTTCCATTCCTGGTCGAGGGCACATACCTTGGGTTGCAGATTTGATCCCAGTAGGGGTGCATGTAGGAGGCAACTAATCGCTATGTCTCTCTCACATCAATGTTTCTCTCTCTCCTCTTTTACCCACTTCCTTCCTCTCTTTCACTTTCTAAAAGTCAATGGGAAAAAAATATACTGGGCTGTGAGGATTAATACAACAAAAACAAAAACCAAAAAATAAATATATTTCTAAAGATGAATTTTGTATTTAGGCTTTATACTTGTATAAGGAAAGAAAAATGCTCTTTGCTCCCTTTACCCACCTTCTTTAATTTTCAAATCAAGAGGGAAAATGAAATTAATAAATTTCGGGCACCTTGAAAATATGATATAAAAATAAAGTTCTGGTATTATTTTAGGAAGGAATTTATTAAAAGAGTCAATTTAGATCTGAAAAGTCATTTTTTTTCTTATTGAGTTTTCCAGAATCCTCCTTGAATGAGGAACATATAAGTTACCATAAAGGCAGCTGTACTTCCTTTTGTTTGCCATCTAGGAGTATAGAGTGTGGGGATTTCATGATCCCCAAGGACCACCAGGGAGCCGAGTCTGATGCAATAACAGAAAGCCTGTTCCATGCTAGCACGGGCTCTGTCCCACTTACACCGACATTGGCTTGGAGAAAGAGTGTGAGCTTCAACAGATCAAGGGGTTTTATAGGGGCGGTGATGTCATTGCTTTGGCTGACCCTGATTGGTTGGGTGAGGGTTAGGGTCCAGTTACACAAAATGGAGGATCAGGAGTTCCGCCCTGCCCTCTCATTCCAAGGAGTTAGCCCCGCGCTGCCCTTTCAGGGATGATTATTATTTGTTTCTAGTGAGATGTCGGGGAGAAGCACGTTTCACTTCTTCCCTTCTAGGGTCTTTGGCTGGTCTAATAATTAAATCGGCATGACATTAATGGGAGAAAAAAAAATAAATTTTGTGCATATGGGAATCCCAAAGATATGAGGTTCTTTGGCAGTTAGGTAATTGAAGTTTATAGGCTAAGCTCAGCTAAGGAAAAGAGGATAGGTTTCAGGGGCCTCAATGGGGAGGAAGAAGATTCCCAAGAAAATGAGAAGATCTTTAGTACAGATATGTGCTAGGCCATGCCGATAAGTCTTTCTGATAGAAAAGGTTACCTTAGCTCACTCCTGGTACAGTCCCTCACTATACATTCATGTAGGCAGTTAAGAGGAATGTAAAAAGCTCTTTTGGAGTCTGTTGGGCCTTGATTGTCTTCAGTTTGAAATAATCAGCATGCCAAATTGGCATATGTTAGGGTCACGTATTTGCCCACTCAGAGAAAAATGCATTTCAAGTGAACCAGTGTAGTTCCAAATCATGATTCGATACTGGTTTCCAAACCCATTAATGACTTAATTTTTTTTTTTTAATTATAAATGATCTCAGGGGAAAATATTAACTAGTCTCACTGGCATTAATTTTTCTTTCCAGCTAAAGTCAAACCTGGGTTCTTTAACGTCTCCAATCTGAAACAATTTGGTTCTCCACAAAAGTTGTTCATGGAAAAAAATGTCTCAATTGTTGAACAAGCTTTGATTTTCCAATTTACAACCCTTTCATGTTGATAGATCATCTCTCAGGCCACAAACAAAAGAGAGAATGCACCAGTATGAGTCACTTTACTGCTAACATCTCTGGAAAATGTGCTGTGAATATTTTTGTTTCTTTGCTTTTGTTGCTAGTGAAATGGACAATTAGCACAATTTTAAAACATAAAGAGGCCATCAAGAGTGCTAATGTTGTGAAAGAAACAATCACAAGCAATTGAAGGATTAGGTAAACTGTTTCTGATTCTGATAAATGAAAAGCAGTTAGCCAATGACAGCAGAAGCCACATAATGACTTTCTGAAAGACACCCCTGGAATGAATGCTGAAAGTGATTCCTTTAAGGCTAGTAGGGAGTGGTTTGATAAATTTAAGAAGTGTTTGTTGATAGATTAAACACTGTATAAGAAAAGTTAAAATGGAATCATTTGAGGGTCTGGAATGAATTAATTCAATTTACATAATTTCTAATGGGAAAAAGTGATTTGTTTAAAAAATATTTTAAAGATTTTATTGATTTTTACAGAGAGGAAGGGAGAGGGATAGAGAGTTAGAAACATCAATGAGAGAGAAACATCGATCAGCTGCCTTCTGCACACCGCCTGCAACCAAGGTACATACCCTTAACCAGAATCAAACCTGGGACCCTTTAGTCCACAGGCCAACGCTCTCTCCACTGAGCCAAACTGGTTAGGGCTAATTTGTTTTATGGCACTTTATTTAATCTCTGAGTTTTAGAGTCTTTATCTATAAAATTGGGATATTATCTAACCTGAATACAATATTATTACAAGAGAAAAATATTATATGCATGAAAGCATCTTGAAGCGATAGATTTAAAGAAGTCATGATAGTACAAAGTTAAAAAGTATGTATTCTTTGCATAAACCGATCTGGCTCAATGGATAGAGTGTCGGACTGTGGACTGAAAGGTTCGATTCCAGTCGAGGGCATGTACCTTGGTTGTGGGTACATCCCCAGTCATGTGTTGCAAGAGGCAACTGATTGATGTTTCTTTCTCATTGATGTTTTTAACTCTTTATCCCTCTCTCTCTTCCTCTCTGTAAAAACTCAAAATATATTAAAAAAAATAAAATAAAAAGTATGTATTCATTAACAAGGATTAGAAGGGAATATGGAGTAATCCAAAGAGTGAAAAACACATTTCTTAAACTTTATTCCTGTGAAACTGGCTAGGTGGACACAAAAATGTTGCTAGGTCCATACAAATAGGGCAGCAATGAGTATGGCCAGCATCTCTTTCCTGCAGCAATTTATTATTATTATTATTATTATTATTTATTATTATTTTTGCGGCGCTTCCTGAATTGGGTCTTTCCTGTTTTAGAGATGAAGACAATAAGGAAAATTACCCGGACGCCGGGGCTCTCCTAGAGGAGCCTGCCCCCTCCCCGGAGACACAGCATGTAGAGCAGACTGTGCTGGTGGACGGTGTGCTGCGACCCAGCATGGGCAACTTTAAGTCCAGGAAGCCCAAGTCCATCTTCAAAGCCGAGAATGGGAGGAGCCATGGAGAAAGTCAGGTAGGTGTGTCTACTCCTCAGGCCTTTGCCAGAATGGGCGCTTCTCCAGTGAGGGCACAAGGCTGGCAAATGGTTTTGAGCTCATTCTTGGGCAAGAGGTGATCAGCATGACTTGTTATTGTGAATATCACCGGCCTTAACCCCATATGAGTGCTCTCCTTGGTTAATAGTGGAGTGTTCTGGGCAGGCTAATAATTTAGTGCCCATTCAAATTTATATTCTTAAATACTGGACTGTGACATTGACTTAAAAGCTGCCTTCCTCTTTGGGGAGAAGGGTAGAGGAGGCTATCTTACTGTCTTTTTTTCCCCCCTAGGGCATGTAGTTCTTGTCCCAAACTTGGAGATTCTTCTCAAGAAATCAAAACTCCCATGTTTACCTGGAGCCGTTCTCCTTAGGTTGCAGTTTAGCAGCCACAAGTGTGTATGTGCCTGTTTGTGTGTTCATGTGGTGTCTGGTTCTTCAAGGTCAATAAGTATTTAAATGAATGAATGAAGCATCTTTCCAACTTGATTTGGGTAATAAATTTACATTTTATATATACGTGTGTGTGTGTGTGTGTGTGTGTGTGTGTGTTTCCAGTTTAGTCCTAATATCTCTATCTAGAAAATTAGATTTTTCTAGTTGTAGAGGGATATATCAAAGAATGTTTTAAAAAATCCTCAAATAATTTATGATACGTTCAAAAGGGATTATACAAATATAATCTACATTAATCTTACTAGGAGGCTAATGGTTCCAACATTGAGATTTTACTTGTAATTTACCTAACACAGTTTTTGGGACATAGATGCTCCATTAAGGTTAACTTTGCTTTTTGCTAACCCTTAGCTGTTAACCTTCAAAATAATGTGCGAGGCTCTAAGTGTAATAGGTTAATTATGACTTTAAATTTAGTCCTGTTAGTAAATGGGCATTAGGTAGGTGACCTTCCTATTAGAACAACTTTGGCTTCACAGTTCCTTTGAACTTGTAGTTTTCTTATTTGGCCTATGATTTTAAAAAAAATATATATTTTGTTGATTTTTTACAGAGAGGAAGGGAGAGGGATAGAGAGTTAGAAACATCGGTGAGAGAGAATCATCGATCAGCTGGCTCTTGCACACCCCCTACTGGGGATATGCCCGCAACCAAGGTACATGCCCTTGACCGGAATCGAACCTGGGACCCTTCAGTCTGCAAGCCTACGCTCTATCCACTGAGCCAAACAAGTTTCAGCGTGGCCTGTGATTTTTATCTTATTTCCTCCTTGGTATTATGACTTCTTATTTTGTTAGTTAATTTTGCAGTGAGATGAAATACCTCCTGAATTCATGAAACAAGTTGTGATTATGTTAAGCTGAGTTGAGTTGCAGAAAGAGATGAGTGTGACATACCATTTACCTAAGAAAACTTGAGACCTTGCCTGTTGCTGAATGCACCCAGTACATGTTTGATTAGGAGGGTACGGTTCTGGGAAGGATATAGGTATCCAGAGGCTCCTCCAGAGTCTGATTATAGGGAAGCTTTGTCTTTGAATATCCTGCTAAGAATCACCTGGGACATTGTCGGCCTTTGGTGACCAGCCATCTGTTTTAGAAGTGCCCCTTATGTCATCCTATAGTCTGGCCTCATAGAAATTACACAGTCATCTCTTGCAATAAGGTACCAATGGGGCATTTCCAATTTGTTGGCTATACGGGAAGATTTCAGGAGAGAGCTGTGCTTGTATAATATATCATTTATAATACAACATCAGAAACCTGGACTTTAGGTAAAATTTCCAGTTCAGTCCTAACATCTATTTCTTCACCATGAGATCGCCCCCCTTTATGCCCCCCCAATGACTAAAAGAACTACGAAGAACTACGATAATATATTTTAAGTGATCTATCTCTGAGGAAAATTTGAAACATGACTAATTCTTCCTGTTTTCTTTGAGGAAAGATAATTAACATATGTTGAGTATTGAATTTATGTAAACAATATTAATAAAATCAACTAACACTTATTTGAGCATTTACTGTGTTCCAGGCATGTACCATGTTTTACTACAATCCCATGAAATTGGTATTATTATCTTGTACAAATAAAAAAACTAAGGCTGAGAGGAATTACATGCGCTTAATCAGATTTGGAATAACTTGAGCAGGATGTATTTTCTATAAAAGCACAGTATCTCTAACAAAGGTACCCTGATCTACCAATTGTGTGTCTAGAGATTTACCTATCTCATGTTACACTGTAATTTTTATATAAAACCTGTGATTTCCCTCTAGATTTTTTTTCCCTTTGGTGATATATTGTGTTGCTAAGCAGTAATTACTTATTTAGAAAGGATTACATAGAAAGGATTTTGTAAGTATGTTTTTCCTCTGCCTAAAGCTTTGTGATGTTGGTCACTAATGCTAGATAAGTGTCCTGTGAGTGAACATTAGCTCTACTAGGACATAAGCTCTGTGAGGTCAATGACTCAGTCCTTCTCTGTCTTTGGATATCCAGCCCTCAGTTGTCAGTATAACCTGTTGAATCACTCAGAACTGCTAAGGGAGGTATATATGTGATTGGTATCAATTTTAAAAATAAAATGTAAGCATATCTTTATTCAGTGGTGAAAAGTTACATTTTAAAAGAGGATATAATGAAGACTATTACAGTATCACATACAGACATGCCATAGATTTTATTTAAATCATTAGTTAGAGAGGAAATCAATATGATGTTACAACCAGTTCAAACGAGATGCAAAGGCCCTGGCTGGTGTGGCTGAGATGGTTGAGCAGCAGCGCATGCACCACTGGTCTGATTCCCTGGTCAGGGCACATGCCTGTGTTGTGGGCTCCATCCCCAGTAGGGAGCATGCAAGGAGGTAGCCAATCGATGTCTTTCTCTTGCTCTCCCTCTCCATTCCTCTCTCTATAAAAATTAATACAAGCATATTTTAAAAAAGAGATACAAAGTATTATGTAATTGTTGTTCACAATAAATGCTAAAATAAATTTAAAAATGGATTAAAAATTGGCAAAACTTGCCATATCCGTAAGGGTGATAATCAATTACTTTCTTGGACATAATTTGCATTTCTGTGGAGAGGAATTATTTGCATTGCTATAATTACTTACAGGTTTACTTCTATCTCTATAACCTTGCAAAGTAGCCTCGTTATAGACAAACAAAAGCAGAGATTATCCAGATGGATGAATTAGCCAGGACAGCCACTAAATTTCAGTCATTTATAATTTTTCCTTACATTGTCCCACTGTCCCCTACCTTCTCCCTTGTGATCATAATAAGATATTCTTGATCACAAAATAAGGCTGATCTCATTAGGTTTGACCTGATTATTTACAAAGACATAGCAAAGAGTGTTAATTTACCATGCAAGTCTTCTTAAGTATGCTTTGTAAAATTTAGAGGCATTTAGTATTGAAAATTACAAAATTAACTTCTCTCTCTGTAAGTTTTCATAAGGAATCTCAGATTGCACTACTGCCTCTATTATTTGCTATCCCAAGGCAAAGGAAACCAAGTTCAAGAAACTCCACCATATTTCACCTGTAGTACCTATACATCTGAGTGAATTCTTCTCTTGAGAAGAATAAACTTCAGTTCCTGGCGTGTAAACTCAACTGAGCTCTAAGCTAGATAGTAAGCCAGTTATCTTAGGAGAATTTTGCAGGCATAGGCTCCAGAAGTAAAAGCCACATAAGCTCCTCTCTAAAATCAACAAACATATCCTCAGGTAGGATAAAAAGAAAAAGGTTTATTAAGCATCATTCTCAATGCTGTGATATTCAGGCAAGAGGTGGCTGCATATCACATTCATTCCAGTTACTCTGGTAAAAAGGAAAACAATTATTGAGTATATGTAAATAACCCTATTCCCGTGAAAAGGAAGTTCACTCTATATGAATTTCTGAACTCTGGGGGTCAGTGTGACACAGATACCATTTTTAAAATCTTCATTTTAGTTTATATAAATAGAATGGTTCTAAAATATGGGTTTTATTATTATTCAGGTGTGGTGAGGCTGACGGATCAGAAGATGACTACCATTTGATAAGATTCCCACTATCAGTTCTCAAGAGGAGTGGGGGGATGCTATGCCATACAGGACCACACAGGGAAGCACCAGGGTTGGGCAGGAAACAGGAGAGGGGAGAGGGAAGCAAGAACCGGAGCCTTTATTGTGGTCTCCATTGGCAAAGCAAGCAGGGTGACCAGATTTAGGATTGGCTAGTTTGAATAATTCCATGGACTCTGATGTACAGGGTTATCTCTAGTTGTCTGGTACCTAGATCTGGAATGATGAAGGCAGAGGAATATTGCCCCCTGGAGTGTATGAGCCAGAAAAAGAAAGTGGTTTTGAGTATGGGCTCTGGGTTGGTGAATCTATATATATAAAAGGCTAATATGCTAAGTGTCCCTCCTACCATCCATCTGGTTGCTATGATGAGCACTGACCATCAGGGGACAGATGCTCAATACAGAAGCTGCCATGAAGTGCACTGGCTGACACCTTGAACCTAGCACCAACAAACCAGCACTCCACTTTTCCCAAGTGGGACACAGGCCTGGCCACCACCCTAGAGTGACACCCCACTAAATCTCAGCCAATGCTGCCTAGACCCCATGGTGCAAAATGCAGCCCACAGCCCAGCCAAGCCCAGAAACAGTCACTCTGGGCTCTGGGTAATGACATCATGTAGCAATGTCTAGCTTCCTCTCCCTAGCAACTAGCCTCCTTGGAGTTTCTTCAGCCCAAGAATATAGGTGGAAACATTTTACACTTTACAAATGTCTGTGAAGCATTTTCCCATGCCTCATCTCATATGATCTGCACAGAAGTCCTGGAGTAGGTAGATAGAAGACTTAGTGTAATCCTATTTTCTTTTCATTAGCTATAAAACAAAAATTTAGAAAGCTTAGAAACCTGACCCAACTGAAAAGAAGTAAGAAATGGTGGACTGTGAAAATTACTTCAGGTTTTCTCACTGCGCAGTCCAACACTGCTGCAGTTA